CAAGACGTGGGTTGGGTCACACGATGAGCAGGACAGGGGGATGTATGCAAGAGCCAGAAACCAAGCAAAGATAGAGTGTAGAAGGGCTGAAAAGGAGTTCCAGAGGCTGGTTTCATGTGAGGTCAAGTCAAACCCAAAGGCGTTTTACCTCTATGCAAAGTCGAAATTAAAAACGTGAGTAGGATTATCAGACCTGAGGTTTGAAGATGGTAATTACTCAGATTCTGACCAGGATAAAGCTGAGGCATTGAACTGCTTCTCTTCCTCTGTGTTCACAAGAGAGGATGCGATTAACCTTCCTGCGTTTGAGGACAGACGGTTCGACACAGCACTAACCCATACTGTCAAAGCTAAAGGTCCATAAGATTCCCTGCCCTGACATGGTTCATCCTAGAGTGCTAAGAGAGTTGTGGAACGAGCTTGCAGAGCCCCTGAAGATCCTGTTTTGTAAATGCCTGGATGAACAAAAAGTCCCCAGTGAATGGAAAGTGGCTTATGTGAGTCCTATCTTCAAGAAGGGCGATCGTCACTCCGCGAACAACTATAGACCGGTGAGCCTGACCAGCATAATATGTAAAGTACTCGAGAGTATTATCAGAGATGCCGCAATGGAACATCTACTACGAAACAACCTTGTAAAGGATTGCCAACACGGTTTTATGCCAGGGCGCTCCTGCTTAACACAATTGCTCAAGGTATTGGATATTTCGACCCATATTTTGGAATGGGGTGGTAATATCGACAATATTTACCTAGATTTTGCCAAGGCTTTCTACAGCGTACCCCACGAAAGGCTGAAAATCAAACTGGAAGGGTACGAAATTCGGGAAATGTCCTAGTGTGGATAGAAGACTTTCTACATGACCGCAAGCAGTGTGTGGTGATTAATGGCACGAAATCATCATCCGTACCTGCTAGGGACTGTCAGTTGGTTGAAAATGTTCAAAGGGCCACCAGACTGGTGCCTGCCCTTCGGCACCTCAGCTACCCTGAGAGATTGTAGCTCCTGAACTTTGCCTAGCTTATACTACAGACGGGCAAGGGGTGACCTAGTAGTGGTGTATAAGCATCTCAAGGGGCACTACTCAGTCGGGTGTCCTTACTTGGAGCTGGCGGACGCTCGCCCGCCCCTCAAGGGGTCACAGCTCAAGATTGAAGAAGCCGCAAGTCCAGAAAACTGTGAGGGCAAACTTTTTCACAGTGAGAGTTGTGAACCCTTGGAACAATCTACCAGAGAGTGCTATGACGGCACCGAGTGTGAGCTCTTTCAAGACAAGACTTGGCCAACACTGGAGCGGGTTCAGGTACATTCAGGAGCCGGTGCATGCCCAGTACTTGCCAACAGTGCGTAACAGAGACGTGACCGATCGCTCAAGCGGCTAGCGAACCGATCTTTTGGTGAAGAGGATAAAAGAAAAGGAAAAGTAATCGGAGACGTGACCGGTCGCCCAAGCGGCTAAAGAGCCGATCAGTGGTGAAGAGGATAAAAGTAAAAGATTTACAGCTTGCAAACAGAGTACTCCACACATAATATCTTAACACGAAATACTCTACCTATAAGACACAAGATGCCTTCAACTTATACTCAATACATCTAGACTCTTTTCTCTCAAGATGGATCTACATAATTGCCTGTATAAGAAATTCAATCCTTCACAATTTTAAATTCCTGAACATCCCGAGTTAGTTTGTAGGGTTACATGATATTATGTTGTCTAGCACTCAGGATGGATGGATGGAAACTCTAGATGGTGGTTTTATATAAAATATATTATGTACAAGACAGTCTGGTGCTGGAGATGCCGTGTGGTGAGAAACTTGGTCAAGATACTCGTTCAGTGAGTAGCGTGCTTGAGGAGTTATCTGTGCAGGAGCTTCGTTAGAGATGTTGCATGTTGCTGGCCTCCAGGTTGAATGAGAGCTGGACAGCGAGGAGCTTGTTTGGAAGAGGTGTTGCGTGTTCAGGAGCGTAGGGTAGAATGAATCTCAATGGAGAGACTGCGAGCTTGTATACACAGCAGCCGGAAGTAAGCCCATGGGAACTCGCTGGTTTCTTGGCTCCGTTGCTAGGGTAGACGTAGCAGCTGGTGACCCCCCCTCCTGAACAGCTCGCTTGGTTGCTAGGATACTGTCGCATTGGAATGCGGATGTAGTTGTAGGGGAGAGATCCACTACAAGTTAAAAAAAATACCCGGGTCCCTGAGCGAGTACACAAAAGGAAAACGGAGGAATTACGACATCCTGGAGTGGATAGAGAAAGGACGTCTCTACGAGGGTACTCAAACGTTTCACATGTTTTGTGGGCGCTGTAGCATAACATGAATAATTAAGTGTTGAACGGACTAACTGCACAAACGTAACCATGACACATGCATATAATATTAGTTTAGCTCCTACATAAATTATCCTTTCAACATGTATGTATATGTGAATATATGAAAGCAAACATTTACTGTACATCCACACATACAAACCTATATCATTAATCTTACAAGGCAAACATACCTTCAAGCACCGGAAGAGGTTACGGTGCAGAACACTCGGTGTACTGCGCACATCATTGTCATTCCTAAAAACCCATTTTAATTCATATTATGCTACGTAACATTCAAATCCACCGCGCTTGTAGAATCTCAGAAAACGGGAAACATTGATAAAGGATAACTCGCCTACTCAATGTTACTAGACCATGTGTTGTATTGTACCCAGGTACAGTTATCTAATGTTAATTGTATGTATTCATAGCATTAAGGAGAACTCAGGGTATCCATAAGATGATTGGGAAAGTCCAGTTGACCCGGACTAGTGTACTGTAGGACTAAGTGTGGATCATGGTTTGAAGGTCATACTATTTACGTCTGTGAACGTGTAGCGGACATACCTTCCACAGATATCATATGAAAATACATGAGAACAATGATCTGGAAAAGGGATAAATGTGTATGAACTCTGTGAGGTGTTGGAAGTGACCCAGAAACTATACTTGAAAGGAAATATCTTGTATGTATTGGTGTGAACTTAATACACCTCGTAGCCTCACGTGACATATACCCACAACAGGTACAGTGATCAGAGAATCTTATGTCTGTGTTCAAATAGTGCAATGTGTGAGAGGAGGATCATCCCTAATTACAGTTTTAAGTGAAGTGGATATACCCACGCCATGAACATTCCGCTTTTGTTTTAAGGGGAGCGTCCTGTGTACCCGCCTCGAGTGTGCCGCGTTGATATCATAACCCAATGAATTTACCCACGAACTAGCAAACCAAGACCTTACCTTAGTGTGAAATTTAGGATTAAACTATGTGTTTATAAGGCATGTGTGACAATATACCGGAAAGTGTTCAGGTGAGAACCGTAAGAAATAAAAGTAAAAATTAAAGATTGGAAACTGTAGGCCTATGCTGTGACGAGCGGCGGGGCACTGCCCTCAGTACCCTCCGTTCTACCGTCACCTCAGGTCAGTGTCCTATCGGGCTATATCCCGCCCTGTAAAAAAGGCTTATATAGAAGTTATTACAGTTTAAAGCTTTGCCTGATGTATAAGTGTAATAGTAATGTGTTAGGGTGTGTGATAACCGCCCGTCAGGCATTATTTCTCAGTACCCTCCGTTCTACCGTCACCTCAGTCCCATGCGGTCGGAGTGCCTTGCTGCGCGGCAGCGATTATCCCTGTGAGCGTCCCACCAGGTGGTGACTACTCCCAGCTATGCCAATCCACTGTGAACCTGTGGATTCCCAGCACACCACCCCAAATGAGTAGGGACAAATAAGGAGACCGTGAGAAACTCCGCGGTCGTCACTTAGAGCGACCTATAATACCAGGCGTAGAAATAGTACTGGTATGTCTCTTGGTGAAGCCCTCGTCTTTACCCACCGAGGGCGGTGTGCGAATGAGGTGCCTGTTATGTATACCTAAAAATTACAAGGAGTCCTATACCTGCAGGTGTGGAGTGTAACAGGTGTGTTGAAATGGTGCTACTATGTATGATAACCGACGGTGTTATATTCCATACAGGTGGAGCAGTCTGATGTGTTAAGGGGTAGTGTAAGAAGGAATGACCGAGGTAAGGTGGTCACAGATTGTTATGCAATAAGTATGTGGATGACACGCCATTAATGTAAGAAGTCTGGTCCCGAGCGGGGTAACCAACATTTTCCTTGTTCTTCTGAGGAAGGCCAATTCATTTGTATGTTTTTTACCAGTATGCTTTTAAGGAATAAATTAATTAAGACATGTTATGGTTTCACCCTTCTTTCCCCTTATCGATCTGGTCAATGAAAAACCTAACCCAATGCCTAGTCCACTCTGCACGCTACCTAACGAGCTACTTACTGTCCAGAGGGGGTCTGGTGGCAGCGACCCTTAGAAATTAAGATTAGAGTTAAGTATTCCTCCTTAGAATTAGTGACCCCAGTCTGGCAGTATATCGCAGCCCTAATGTATAGTGACGAGGTCACGATCACCGTTGAAATGTAGTCACTAAAAGGATGATCATGATATGGCAACACATATAGATATTACCGCTTAAGAGCCATTATTAATATTCTAATTGCCAACACTTTGATAATGGGGTTTGAATGTGTAACATAAGAACTTTCATAAATTTAGGTGGTATTGGACCGGGAGCAACTTAGTGATGGGAGTTTTACAATACTTTGACCTCGAGGTGGGACACCTTATTTGTTTTAGAATTACAAGAAAATTTTAATGAACATTAACCAGACCAAATATAAAGGTTCTAATCTAGGGACAAATATTTTCTTCCCAATGGGACATATGATGCACCCTGATGGTCAGTGTGTCTGTGTAAAGATGATAATTCGAAGCCAAAGTCGGTGCTGTGCCTCTGGCTTCGAAGCAAAAAACCTTTGGGAAATTTCGAAGCAAAGCCCAAAAGGCATATCTTCCAGAAGCTGAAGGCTACTATTTTCCGGCAGTCAACAGTTTACTGTCTTCAGTACAGAGTGTATCAACGTTTTCTTTTTTTTTCTTCTAGTCAGACACCCACAACAGAATGTCTCTGCTCTTGCTGCAGAGGTAAGTACCATATTTCCTCAAGTGTTTGGCACCCACTTTTGGAACCATTTTCCAACCTGACTGGCACCACTGTACCATATGTGAGCGGATATTACATGACGTAATTACCTGCGTGTAGGAATATCACCTCAGTGGCACGTGTGTGTGTGTGTGTCACTAAAAAATACCTTGTGACGTTATTTAATTATATATGTTTGAAAATGTTAATTGATTGTCATCATTAACTGTCAATTTACTCGGTATGGAATTGTAGAATTTGCTCACCGGAATTCTGGTCGGCGTAATTAATCGATCCCTAGTTAGGGCCGGGCACTGCTTCTAGCTACCGCACTCTACCTACTAAGTGGTACAGTACTACTCTTTCTCTGCGTGATAGTTTGAAGAAGTTACTTAATATATCATGTTGTGCTGGGTGGCTGGGCTGAGGTATGTGTTGTATCGGGTGGCTTTTCTTTTTTCATATTATTTACCGCTTGAATGTTATACGTGAAAATCTGAGCTACACACCTGCACATATGTTAAAATTTATCGCTCCTGTTTCTTCCACAGTATGTTTCTGCTGGTGCTGGCGACGGTCATCATTATTGTCTGCGAGGTGAAAACTGTTTTGGAGATTGAAGTTGGTCGAAGACAGACCCCCTATTTCCAAAACGGTTCAGACGATACTGTATCAGAGTCTATAACCAACGAACTAAACAAGACGGATGATCTGCCCAATAAGACAAATGGGTTCTCTCGTGTGCCGACTGTGAATACCGTTGTTATGAGGAGCGATAGGAAGACCACACCACGAATAAGTGTTATTCATTGCAATTGTTCAATTCGAAAGTCTCGGGGTGGTGCAACAACAGTGCAAAAGTTAGACTCTGTGATATCTTGGCTCAACGAGACCACCAAGGAACATCTGACAAAACACCACCCGAACCTTCCAATAGACTTCCTGTATAAAATTAGCGGGGAACGTAGTTGTAACTTACTACCAACACTCTTCCAGTGAGTACTGGCTCTGTTGTTTATAGTCGATATTATCATGATCTCTAGATCGTCATTTTTGTCCCACGTGTTATTGATATCAAAAGTGTCGCTACTGACCAATTGTACATCTTCCATGTGTGTTACACCAGTCGGTAAATATAATAAGAAAAATACATTAAAAAATATGAAGGTTTGGCTATCGAATAATTGTACTGTATGCATCTTTAATTACTTTTACTTAAGTTAATGGTGTAACTGTACCACCTGTAGTCAAACACATGTCTCTCCTACAGCATCGAGTGGAGGAACAAACACTGGCAAGAAACAAAAATTTTCAACACCACCATTCACTTGTACTCCGCCTTCTACGACCCCAACCCAGGTGAGTAGTGTCTCCTGACCTGTCAGGCGGCTTCTACCTTAAGTGAGTTTCCGAATTGGTTTAAATCCAAGTAATTGATGGGGCCCTTAAAATTGTAAAGTAATTCTTTCGTTCAGTGCCAGCCTAGATCATTTAAAATTCCACGTGACATTAGCTTAGGTAAATATTGCAGCGCAGTACTATGGTTGGGAATTACAGAAATAAGTGTTTCATAGGTTCTCATTTACTTTACTAAGTTATAAGGACAACTGAATTCTGAGTCCTAGAGATCGTTGTAGAAGGAGTAAGAACAGGAGCTAATTTTGTCGTTCAGAAATGTTAAACATTTTATTTCAGCAATAATATACAGTATACCCTGCCACAGCCAATTTTTTCTCCCATTCCCGCGCATAAACAGTTCTTAAAGCTTACACAAGTCTCGACAAATCTCGTTCAATTAGTATTCTACTTAAAATATTGATTTAAAGAATTGTTCAGGCAATAATGAGCTTCATAAGTTTAGACTGTCGTAAGTCGTATCAGCGAGTTTTATAACAGTACTGATCTACTGTAAGTAGTGCCTGAATAATTACGTTTAAAGGTCAAGCTGAAGTACAGTGATGGCAGGTCAGGTACAGTACTGCCTCACTACAGTTCTGTTTTGAAGAGAGCGTTGATGACCCCACGTAGGATTAGTAGAATAATTTAAACCAGACGAAAATAATGTATATTGTCAAAACCACTTGTACACAGCTCAGCAAAGAGAAACCTGATAATTTTATAAAGTTCCCTTAGCATACTCTAACACAGGTTTAACGCATGTTACAATAATTGTAATGAATATTAAAGAAAATATATTGTACTTTCCTTTTGTAATGTTTTTCACATTCAGAAAGTAGAAAGTAATAATTAACAATTGGGAATACCTAGCCAAATGTATTGACGTCAGCGCTAACTAGCAACCTAAAGCACCTTTGGGTGTAACATGTGTTGGCGACTGTTGTCAAAAATGTTCAGAGTTCAGTCCACACAAATGTAACATTGTTCGGAATTCTGTCGTAAACATGTTGGACAACAGTTACCAACAGTGTTTGCAACAAAGTTAAATGGTCTTGTCTACACCAACGTAACAGTGTTAGGAACATTGTTGATAACTGTTTGAACCAATGGTTGTAACACTTCTGAAACTGAATCCACAGCTGTGACGTTTTTTTTAAATGCAGGAAAGTGGCTTCTTACCGTAGAACTCGGATACCTTCACACTGGTTACTCACCCAAGAGATTATGGTGTATCACTACGTAGAATTTTGCTCTGCTTCCGGCATTCAATGCGTTATGTACTTGATAAATGATGATTTAATGAATTCCACTAACTTCCAACATCCATCTAAGTTATTGGTTATACTTTGTCATAACCAATCAGTCATTACCCTTGGTAATAATAATAATAGAGGGATCACAGATACGGGCAGATGATTGCACTTACGTTTATTTGGTACAATTCCATACACTGGACTTATAATTTGCATGGATAGGTCAGTCACTCACATTCACGCCACAGTACCGTAAGTTATAAGGGAGAGTTTGTCAACCTGGAGAATTAATCGTTTAGATCTATTAGGCCGGCCTGGAGTGCTCTTGTAGCAAACAGGCCCTCACCATTGATCACTTCCTTTACAGGATGTGTTAACTTGTCGCTGGACTTAACAAAAATCTCGGGGATTTGCACACACAGACCCGTAGCACTGGTAGGACTGTATGACCCCTGATCTTAAGTCCGCGGAGCAGGAGGTCTTCTCTAACCCAAGGTCTAAAGCCCACTGGCTAAATTGGTTTTTTTGAGGCGTGAAGTGATGAACAGTACACCACTGTCTCACTGGCCTGCCCCCCCCTACATGTCCCAGTCATGGCTGGCCGGTTACCTTATCTCTACCGTAAACAAACATTTGGGATGGGTTGTGCGGGAGGCCCAACGCAACCCATGACAACAGCAATGGCACATATTTAAGTAACACTGAAGGCAACATTGTCAGAACAGAGCAGAGGTGTAGGACTCGTATAGTCCACATAGCCGGTTTAGTTGACGTCATCACCGGGAGACAGTTGTATGTTACCAACACTGTTTCGATTTTTAATGCAGCCAACATGTTCGTGAAATCGTCATAATATTGACAGTGTAACCAACACTTATTACCGACAATGTTTGCATTGCTTCTACATCAGTGTAACAATGTTGGTAACATTGTCAGTAACATTGTGGAACAACGATGCCATCATCACTGAACACACCAACAGAGTACACCAGCTGTTGCCCATACTGTATTGTTTCTAACCATGTCCTCAACAATATTACTTTGGTGTGGCCACACCTTAATGCCGTCCTCTTACTCCTGCACACTCCATCCTGTTTGAACAGTACATGAATCTCTCTCTCTCTCAAATCACGTAGAGGACATGATAATGCACCCCCGAGTAGACTTTCTATACTGCTGACATTAGGATGTTTCTGGTCTTGTATCAGTATTACTGATTCTGAATTAATAATTTAAAATTAATTAAACATGTAATCCTCTGTACAGACGGAGAACCCTGCGTGAGACTGCTCGGTGTCACCAAGAGTACCAAGCCCCACAGTGGATGGTGTCAACTCTGGTTCACCTCAAAAGATCCTCCCGTCGTCAGCAAAGTCACCACCTCCGGTACAGTAGGTGACACCTGTGCCACCTTCACCTGACTTTTGCCTCATGGTTGTTGCCGATGGCAGGTGCTTTTGTATAATGACCCACACTAGTAGTTGCTGCTCACAGCTGTACCTTGAAGTAGTAATCCGTGGATTGTTTAAAATTATTTATTGTGAGTCCTTGCTTGGGTCGGCTCTAGATAAAAGTGGATCAAGCTATCGCAGAGGTCCTCAATAGCCCAAGAGGGCCCCTGGAAATCTTAATCTAACTTAAAATAGTTCTGACCATACAAAGAATTGATTTTATTGAATAATGGGCCTAAAAAAAAACACACACTTCTGATCATATTGAGACGTTCATATTGGAAATGAGACACAATTAGTATTTACAGCAAAAGTTGGATCTTACCATTTCCTTATTAGATGCTCAGTGGTTTGGTATGACATCCTGACCGACACATGTCACGCAAGAGCACCTTGATTGTTTTCATTTACGCTGTATCTCTCCTTCCACCAACTGGTCTCTCTCTCTCTCTCTCTCTCTCTCTACCCAAGTTAACGATTTCCACTATTGTGCTGGTATTGGCAGTAATATTATTGTTTTGCGATTATGAGTCAGAATCTTCCAATTTGGCCATTGTACATAATATATTCTCCGTAAGGCATAACAGACTAGGGCTTGAGTAGCTGTTGAACCGCAGGTGTCGGCTTCCCCAGTTTAGTGTTTACACACACATGCATGTAACTTGGTTAGGTTTATGTGTAGGGTTGTTCTGCGAGATTAGTTTATTTCTCTCTCTCTCTCTCTCTCTCTCTCTCTCTCTCTCTCTCTCTCTTTATGTGATCCACTGACCTATATATACTGCTAATGAATATGATGTATTTCCTTCTTTGTGTACGAACTTCTGTCCTGCATGGCAGTGAACAGTGACATTACCCACATGAATCTGACCTCTATACATATATAGCTGTTAATGAATATGATGTATTTCTTTGTGTATGAACCTCTGTCCTGCCTGGCAGTGAGAAGTGATACCACCCTCAGTGTCATGACCTGACTGAATTACTCAGAATAGGCAAACTGTACTACAAGCTTTGCAAATAAATTTGTTAAACTAAAAAACAATTCAGGCCGCTTGACTATGTCAAGTTTCCTTCCATGGGACTTCTCTTAGGTATTCTCCCCACACAATTAATGATGCAGTGTTTTCTCCCTAGAATTCGTGGATTGGCAAAACAAGGACAGCAGCCGTCAGATGCCCTACCTGTTCACCTGTCTCCTGCCATCTGAGGTGCGCCACCTCCAGCCTGCTGCTGTCTCCCTCGTCCAGAAACCCTGCCAGATTGCTACTAACTTACTAAAGGTACCCTGCCACCATCCCCAACCCTACCACCAACCTCCACCCTCCCACCAACCTCACCCTGCCACCATCCCCCACCCTACCACCAACCTCCACCCTCCCACCATCCTCCACCCTTCCACCATCCCCCACCCTGCCACCTCCCATCCCCTGCCCTCCCAAGCCCCTCCCTTTCCCCCTGGCCCCACACCCCCCTGCCCCCACACCCTCTCCCCGCCTCTGCCACCTCCCCCTTCCCTGCCCTGCCACCCTCCCTTCCCCCCGCCCTGCCACCTCCCTTCCCCTGCCCCTGCCACCTCCCTCTTCCCCCCCTGCCCCACACCTCCCATCCCCCTGCCCTGCCACCCCTTCCCCGCCCCACACCTCCCATCCCCCCGGCCCTGCCACCTCCCATCCCCCCATCCTGCCACCCTCCCATCCCCTGCCCCCACACCTCCCATCCCCCGCCCTGCCACCTCCCATCCCCTGCCCTGCCACCTCCCCATCCCTGCCCTGCCACCTCCCCATCCCCCTGCCCCTGCCACCTCCCTTTCCCCTGCCCCACACCTCCCTTCCCTGCCCCACACCTCCCATCCCCAACACCCCCACACCACCTCCCCCTCCCCTGCCCTGCCACCTCCCTCCCTTCTCGCCTCTACACCTCCCATCCCCTGCCCTGCCACCTCCCATCCCCCGGCCCTGCCACCTCCCATCCCCTGCTCCCCACACCTCCCATCCCCACCCCTGCCACCTCCCATCCCCCGCCCCTGCCACCCCATCCCCCTGCCCCTGCCACCTCCCCACCATCCGCCCCCTGCCACCCTCCCCATCCGCCGCCCTGCCACCTCCCCATCCCCCGCCCCTGCCACCTCCCCATCCCCCCTGCCCTGCCACCTCCCCATCCCTGCCCCACACCTCCCATCCCCCTGCCCCCACACCTCCCATCCCCTGCCCCAAGCACCTCCCATCCCCCTGGGCCCCCAAGCACCTCCCATCCCCCCCGCCCCTGCCACCTCCCATCCCCCCTGCCCTGCCACCTCCCATCCCCTGCCCTGCCACTCCTCCCATCCCCGCCCTGCCACCTCCCATCCCCTGCCCTGCCACCTCCGATCCCCCGCCCTGCCACCTCCCTGTTTGATGGGGAGTAATAGTGGTTGTCGTAATTTGTCCTGACAGATGCCATCATCCACAAACGTGTCGTCTCTCAGTAATATTTCCACTAAAAGATCTTGGTCTCTGAGCTCTCCATATCAAGGTCCAGCCTTTAAGGGAATAATGAAAATATGGAAATAGTCTTTTTTAGGTGGTTGAAGACTTGTATTTCACAGAACATAATTAAGTTAATTTAAAAGATATAGAAGGTAGAGTTTCAAAGTCTAGCAGTAGGGAGAAGGATTTAGACTTCACAACAGCAGCCACACACAGCGTCCTGTCGGGTACTATGCAGAGTGGCCTACCCAGAGGTACAGGAGGGACGGAAGCATCTTATTTAAGGGAACATACTGCAATCTATCACGATGCTCACTGGTTATGTATTTTCCTGATGTTGGTTTGTGTAATGTAACTAAAATAATTCACAGTGGCTACAGACATTTTTTTCCAGATCTACTGTTGGTGTAACTATTGGTTTACTATAACAAGAGTTGCGTCTACATGACGTGGCGTAATATATGATCTTTGGGTACCTACAGGCGGTGGGCGGGAAGGAGAGAGAGTCGTCAGCTTACCAACATGGACAAATACCTGATGATCCTGGCAGGTAAATTATTCTCCATCACCATCCATGACTCACTCTGCCTTGGGTGGAGTAAGTCATGAGGTATGTGAATGCCTTTCTTAAGAGACCTACTACTTTAGTTGCTTGATTTATCTTCGTATTGCAATGGTTTAAGTTGACAATGAACTGTTAAACTGTTTAACAGTGTATGTTTGTCTTTGGTACCCCCAAAATGTTCTACACTACTGAGGGTATACACAAACACTTGTTATCTTGAAAAAAGGTTCTTATTCTCGTATGGGAGATGAATACAGAGGAACAAAGAAACTGGCTTCCACACCATAAGGACTAGTGATCTCAACTCTCTGTATCACTCCTCGCTGGCATGTACAGATGCCAGCATTCACAAACTGAATACATAATATGAAAATATGATAATTAACATACATAACATGGTGCATAATAAATGGAATATTACATGGGATCAATACATGTTCTGTAATACTTTACTATACATAATTAATGGAGTAACATAAGAATACACAGCTTAAGGTACTACTTCGTGTCCATATTATACACCTCCCTCCCCCCTATACGCTCATAGTTTCATCTTGAGCGGACCTTTTGTTTCTGAGTCGCTCGGACCTGCGGACTACCAGGTCAGAAACACAAGGTGGGGATGGATTTACTGTAAAGACATCAGCATAAGGGGACTCTACTGGTGAAGGGTCAATGCTTGGCAGCTCCACAGGTCGTAGGAAACGACTGTTCCTCCACCATACTCTACCACTAGGAATACGCACTTGGTAGTCCCTGGACCGGCCAATACCCATGACAACCCCAACTTTGTCCCAGCGGTGAGATACTGGATTTTGAATCCTGACCTGCTGGCAGATACTCAACCTGGGAAGGGGGCGGGCATGACATTCGTACCGAGTAGCGATATCTGCGGCTCGTTCTGCTGCACGGCGGTCACATTCTTCAGTCTTGGCCTGCCATTCTTGAGAAAAAGACTTCGGGTGGGCAGGAACACAAGACCTGAGATGATGTCCATATAGAACCTGGGCTGGGGAGCGTCCGGTGAATTTCGGGGTGTTGCGTAACTAACAAACCTCGATCGAAATCCTCGCAGTCGATATTTCCTGTGGGTGACACCTTAAGGATCAGGTGTTTAACAGTCTTGACTGCGGCTTCAGCGTGTCCATTCGCCTGGGGGTAGTGGGGCGAGGTCACGACATGACGGACTCCCCAACGGTCCATGAAGTCCCGTAACTCGTGGCTGGTGAACTGGGGTCCTCCATCAGTCCTGAGGCGGAGGGGAACACCAACTTCTCTGAAGTAATGTCTGAAATTCCGGATGGTAGCAGTAGCCGTTGTATCACTACCACAGGGGACGAAAACAGGCCATCCAGACAATCGGTCGGCAATGACGAGGAAGGACTTCCCTGCCACTGCAAAGAAGTCGGCCGACACAGACTCGAAGGGTCTTGAAGGGTTATCGTCACACATTAAAGGTTCCTGTTGCTGGCTGGGTTGCAGAATCTGGCACGGCTCATAGGCACGGACGGTACTTGCAATGTCCGTGTCGATTCCGGGCCAAAATACAGTAAGCTTCGCCCGTCGCTTGGTGGCCTCCACTCCTCGATGGCTGTCGTGAAGGTGGGTCAAGGTACGGCGGCGTAGGGCAGCAGGAATGACTACTCGTGGACCATACAAGACGAGGTCTCCGTCACAATAGAGGTCCTCGGGTATCTTCTAGTACGGGAGTAGCGATTCATGAAGGTCGTATCGGTTAGAAGGAAATCCCTGGGACACACAGTCGACAAGCCGGATGTAGGAAGGGTCGGCCCGGGCTGCGGTACAGAGATCTTCAAGGGTCTTGTCTGCATCCGGTGCTGTAGACTCTTCTGATGTGAAGATGGCCTTCAATGAGACTACTGACTTGAGGGATGCAGCAGCTGTAGAACACAACATCTCGTCCTCTTGGGTGGGGAGACTGACAGGGGCGCGGGACACTGTCCCGCCGGGACAGGGCATCCGGGATGCACAGCAGCTTACCCGCACGCCACACAGCCGTGAAGAGATAAGGCGAGAGCTTCTCTTTCAAACGTTGAAGGCGAGGATTCTCCACTGCATCCAAACAGTAGTGATTGATAATAGGTACAAGAGGGTGATGATCCGTGAAGAGGGTGAAGTGCTGAAGTCCTATCAGGTAGAAGCGGCACTTCGCCATCGCCCAGACAACAGCCAACATCTCCAGCTCAATCGTGGCATATCGGGTCTCGGCGTCCGTCAGGAACCGGGATCCACACTGAATTAAGCGGAGGTGTCCACCGCCATGGTCCTGCAGAAGGGCGTAACCAACGCCGTAGAGTCTGGAGGCGTCAGTTTGGAGGACGGTGGGTATGGCTGGGTCGTAACAGGCGAGGACAGGTGGACTTAAGAGGGCCTGCTTGACTCGCTGGAAGGCCTCTTGATGATCTGGGGTCCATAGGAATGTCCTCCTGGGGCTCAGCAGGGGGAGTAACGGCTGGGCTGCGGCGGAGATGTCAGGTGAAAATTCAGCCAGCTGATTGACCAGACCCAAAAAAGAACAGAGGTCTGTCAGGTTGGCAGGGGTTGGAAAATCCCTGATTCCACTTAATTTCTCGGGGTCAGCTGCGATACCTGATGCTGAGAGAGTGTACCCACAGAAGTTCACTGATGGTGCGGCGACTACAAACTTGTCAGCGTTGAGGGTAATCCCGTACTTTCGACATCTGGTGAGAACTTCATATATTCGGGAGAGGTGGGCACAGTAGTCTTCGTCATGGAGTAAAATATCATCAACCACCTTGACACAATTCGTGACTCCTTGAAGGGCAGCGTCACCATGTTGACAGAATGCATCGCTTGTAGCGGCAAATCCCATGGGGCCTCTGCAATACTGATATCTTCCATATGGTGTGATGAATGTAGTCAAATGCTGGTCTTCTTCGGCCAAATCGATCTGCCAAGAACCACATAAGGCGTCCATCGTTGTAAAAAAACTTTGCCTTCGGGTCCACATTTCGAACAGCTCCGAAGGGTGTGGGTGAAGGGTGGGCTGGACAGGAAACTTGCTGGTTAAGTTTTGACAGATCGGTGGTGATCCGTACTCCACCACGAGGTTTGGCGACGGGGACGAGAGGGTGGCACCAAGGTGAAGGTTCGTCTCCGGCCGGCTTGATTATTCCCTGAGCAACCATGGAGTCAAGCTCTTGTCTAACTAGCTCCTTGTAGGCGTGAGGAATCAAACGAGGGGTGTGGATGGCAAAAGGTGTGGCATCATCCTTAAGATGAATCTTCATAAGTGGACCCACCATCGGCTTGAGTGGTGTGGATCCTAAAGATTTCTTCGTTACCAACACGTCAGCAAACTCCTTGAGAAGGTAAGCTCTTGCATCAGAAGGGGATGTGTTAGTAGAGATAGGGAGTTCCTTCAACCTGTTGACATGGGTGACCTTTAAAATAGGTTTGGGGAATTCCTTGGAAATAATGGCCAACTCTTGACAATGGCCATATGATAAAAGCGGAGTCGGGATCCCATCATGAACATCAATCCGGGCTGAGCAAGACTGCTTACCAAAGGAAAGAGTAGCCCAGAAAGATCCCAAAGCTGGAGCCATCTTGGAACCATAAGCTGTCAGTTTCGTTGTCTGAGGAGGGGGCTGTAGGTTGCTCCCGGGTATTCCCAAGCTTGCCAAGTGTTGTGGACCAATTACTGAGACGTCAGCACCGGTGTCAGGTAACATCTGAAGACTGGATGACAAGTTACCATGAGAAATGACGACACTGATGTGCTGGGGCGTCGTGTCTGTGGAACAATGTACACGACAGCAGGAACGACTGGACACAGCGCCTTGATGCTTGCCAGGAGGAGGGGGCGTGCCAGCACTACCTGAGGATGACTTCTTGGATCCTTGGTGGTGTCCTTTCTGTGTCTTCTTACAACAACATTTGTCATAATGGCCCACACGACCACAAAGTCTGCACTGAACTTTGCTAGCAGGGCACTTGACTGTGTAAGCCCAGTGGCCCTGACGGTCGCAACTTCTGCTCACGCTTTGAGCAGCTGGGCACTGGGAGGCATCATGCTGTCTCGCACAGCTGTTACTCAAAGCTGCTGCTGAAGGTGTAGCTGGAGGGTGAGGGGTGGGGTTACCTTGCTGCTTCTTACCCTTTCTGTAGGAAGACACCGCCCTCACCTGGTCAGGTTGTGAGCGTAAAGCTGAAGTCGCACACCTGGCGGCCTCGTACGCTCGACATTTTGTAACAACATCTTGAAGGGAGGAAGTGGGGTCAAGTGAAATGAGACGCTGAACTAGCTCTTCATCTCGAATACCCGTTAAAATAATTGTCTTGAGTTGTGTCTCTTCACAGACTTGAGAATTTCCAGGACAAACATCAACTTCCTCTGAACATCTTTTCAGTCTTACAAAAAATGCATGAAAAGATTCTCCATCAAGCTGCTTACATTGGAGGAGTTCTCTTCTTCTAAGTGCTTCGTTGCGCTGTCCCTTAACATGTTCCTGAAACTTGTCAAGCACGGCCTCTACAGTCAGAGTTGTCGTAGGAGGCACTTGAAGTGTGTGCTCGAGAGTACGTTGTGTCTCCAAGGACAAGCACATACGAAGCTGTATCATCAGTTTAGGCTGTGGTAAACTTGACAGGTCAACCATTGTTGCATAGTCTTGCCAACGTCAACGCCATTCCCGAAATATCTGATAAGAAGCGTCAGACTTCAGAGAGGGAGGCGTTTGTGCTGCAGCCTTTTGAGGAATTGTTGAACCGACTCTGGGAAATGAGGTACCAGTACCTCTAGTCGTATCAGCATTAGTAGTAGCAGAAGAATCTTGTACAGTAGATCGTTGTGGGGAGGCTAACAGGGAAATCAAGACTTCAAATCTGGCTTGATCCTCTCTTCTTCTCAGGTCATTCTCACTTCTACGTATATCTTCTAGTTCTCTGCGCCTTTGTTCGTCTTCGTGGCGTCGTCTTTCAGACTCTCTGTACTGAATTTC